TGACTAGGCCATAGTCAACCACGCTGGCCCACTGCGGGTTGGTTGACTTCACACATTTCTTTGAATTTCTTCGCTATGTTCAGGTTGAATCACGCTGTGTTCCTTCACCGTAAGAACGGTAAATTATGTACATATGAAAATTCGAAAAATCGAAAATCACATTGGTATATCGCCCGGCAAACATCTTGAACAATACATTTAATTGCGCAGTAGTCGGTTTTAGGGTCTTTTGACGGCGCAAGGAGGGATGCGAGCGTGCGGTTATATATTTTATATATTGAAGTAAATCAAAATCTACTGGGCAGATTTAAAAACAATCATTTACGAATATAAAGCACGCTGTCACTGAGTAATTATACTTCTCACTGTCTTTTTTCTAATTCTACATCGACAAATTCTTACAATCTCACTAATATTATAAATCCGAAAATTGATATGGATGGATGTTTGTTAGAGTTTGTTGCCTAAACGGCTGTAGAGATCTCCATGAAATTTAGCATACATGTAAAACATAATCTGGAAGAATACTGCTTACTGTTTTTTTTTTAATTTTGTGCGGACAGAGAATTAGGGGAAAGCTAGTATACTAATATAATAAAGCATAAGCATATACTTCTATGTTACGTAGGATGTCTATTACAGTATATTTTTGAATTATCCTTCTAAGAAAAACTCATAAACTTACGACACGCAATTATTCTATCACTAAGACAGTTATTTAACAATGATTTTCTTTAACAGTTGAAGAAACGAACCATGGAGCGCAAACAAGCATCCAGTTTGTTAAGTTCAGTTGGCAAGTCTCTCGGCAAAGCTAACTCTGAGTGCAACGGACATAATGGCGACTCCAGAGATAGTACACTCACAAATGGACAAAAAGGAGAATTTGATGATCTGATCTCCGCATTGAGGACCGGTGATGTCTTCGGTGATGATGTCGCTAAATTCAAGAGGTCCAGAAAGACATCGAAAGCCCACAAGGGAAGGGATTCCCCTCCCCGTGGCGTGTGCAGAGAAGATTCTAGAGAGAGACAGAAGTGATCCGAGGAATTGAATTTGCTATTTGGTGTAAATAACCGTGAGCGGGAACGTTATTAGTCAAACAAGTGATATTTACCAGTTTATGAACTAGAACTAGTGATTAGGATCGGTTTTAGGTCCGATGGTTGTCAAACTGACAGATAGATGGCGCTATCCTCAAGTGACGAGTTGACAAAGATAGATGGCGCTAAACAAGTTAAAGTTTAGCTAGAATTTCACTGTTTGTTGTTTTTCTGCGGTCAGAATTCGCTCAAATAGAGAAACGACCGCTGCCAAATACATCAAAACAGATGTGTTAGACCTTAAATTGACAGAGGAAGGGACGCACAGAAAGAGGTTATTCCCTTCCTATGCATCTCCTCGCCTGTCAAATCCACTTGTGAATAGCATCGGCCATTGGATCCCATCTATTCCTGTTAAATAATCTATTCGTATATAAAAATCTTATATGACAAAAGTCAGTGTTATCTGAATTTGAACTCTATTTGTTAAGTGTTAGAATATAATTTGACTGAAGGGGATTTGATGTGATTTTCCCGGATTTCTCTCGATGGAGAGAAATTCTAAGGATGATTATTTCTTGTATCGAAAAAGAATAAAAATAGGAAATTTTTGATGGGATTGTATTTTATAAAAATTGAACTCCGTTTGTGTGATTTTTTTGTAGACTTTAATGTTGATTGAT